AGGTTATTGTAGGCCAAATTAAAGGATTACTATAGAAAGAAAAATCGGGAAAAGGGGGGATTACTGCAGCCAAAAATTTGACACATTTAGAACGTTCGAGGGATTACTGTGTCCAGAAAAAAAAACCAAATTTCGAGCATTTCAAACCCAAAATTGGTTTTAAAAATGGCTGTAATTTTCACAATGTTACAGCACATAAATATGACATAAAATCCACCAAGAGTGTTTTCTATCCAATTTTAGCATGGTGGCCTAACTTTTGCAAGTTAGAGTTTTCTAGGCCACCATGTTAAAATGACCTAGGAGTCACACCCAAAGAATATTAGACGATTTCTAGGTAATTGAACATAATGGCCTAGAAAATTCCAACATGGACAAGTTAGGCCACCATGGTAAAATGACCCTGAAAGCACACCAGGGAAGAATCAGGTTATTTGTAGTGCATTCTCCATAGTAGCCTTAAAGGTGGTGTGCCTTTAAAAACTCAACTTGCAAGTCATTCCAAATGAATACTAGGCCATGTCAACATGGTGGCCTAGAAAACTCCGACTTGCAAAAGTTAGGCCACCATGAAAAAATTGACATAATTTACAGTTTTTTTTTCCAGAAGAAAAGTCCGGCGGCGGTGGCCTGATGTCAAAAATGAAGCGAAAAATCACGCAGGCCAAGAATGGGCACAAAAAAGCCGAGGACACAATGTCAATGGCATCGGCATGGAGTGCGACATCGAAGATCTCGACGAAATCGAATAAATCCAAAATATTTGGAAAAATTGGATCGAAATTGGGACTCGGAGGGAAGGACAAGGAGAAAACACTGCCACCGGGCACGTTCCTGACACCAATGGATAATCATTTGGATCAGACGACAAACGGGGGACTGTACGAGACGGCGAACAGCTCGAATGGACATGGAGGTGGAGGATCGACGAGCCGGAATTCCAGGTGCGGAATTGGGGGAAATGGGGTTAAAAATGAACAAAAATAAGCTGGAACAGTCTCGAAATGATGAAAAATGATGTAAAATAGATTCTAGAACACTTCAAAATGGCTTAAAATGACCCTAAAACCCGCCGAAAATCGCCGACAACGGGCCTAGGACATGAACCAAAATAGACTTAAACGAAGCCTAAAGTGGTCTAATATCGTCTGAATTAACTGAAAATGGCCTAAAAATAGCTCTAAAATAGTTTAAAATAAGCTAAAATGACCTAGAATGACCTAGAATACCCCGAAAATGGTCAGAAATTAGTCGAAATTAAGACAAAGTTTAGATTGAAAAATGGCTAGAAATAGCTAAAGATGACCTATTTTAGCTGAAAACGACCTATTTTTGACTGAAAATGACCCAATTTCCAGTCACCGCCGCTCGCGGGCTCTACATGAAGAACAAGACGAGCCTTTTAGCTCAAAATGACCTATTTTTGGCTGAAAATGAGCTATTTTTGACTGAAAATGAGCTATTTTTGGCTGAAAATGACCTATTTTTGGCTGAAAATGACCTATTTTTGGCTGAAAATGACCTATTTTTAGCTGAAAACGACCTACAAATGACCTTAAAATAGCCCATACTACCTAAAACTACCTAAGAAGGACCTAGGAATACCCCACCAAAATGGTTTAAAATGACCCTAACTGTTCCTGAATCACTCAAAATGGCCCTAAAATGACCCAACAATGAGCCAAACCTTATCAGAAATTAGTCGATATTGACTTAAATGACCCAAAAATGGTCAGAAATTAGTCGGAAATGACCTAAAAACTTAAAAAAAGTGGTAAAAACGAGCTGAAATTAGTTGAAAAACATCCAAAAATGACCCACATTGATTCTAAAAAAATGACATGAGAAGGCCTAACGAGACCGAAATTGACCAATAAATGATCCAAAAACCACCTGAATACTCGAAAAATGACTTATAAATCGCCCAAAAAGCCAAAAATGACACAAACCGACATAGAAATAGCTGAAAATGACCGAAAAATGGTCCTAAATTGGCCTTAAATGACCCTAAAATGAGCGAAAACACCCCAATTTTTCCAGCTTCAACGTATTCGACAACATGAACAACTCGTCCCGCCCGCCATCCTCGTTCTCCGGCGCCATGAACAACTCGTCGATGAATCCGTTCGCGGATTCAATGTCTCCAGAAGCACCCGCCGCCGCAGCTCCAGTGCCTGCTCCAATGCCACGTCGACAGACAACACACCGACGAGCCGATTTGGAATTGGCACTGGAATCGGGGTCATCTCGGGAGCGGCCACCCTGCCACACGCTATGACGTCGCCGGTGGTGAGGAATTTTTATGATTTTTGAAAATTTGAGCCGAAAATCGTTGAAAAACTGAATTTTCCCATAAATTTTGGGCAATTTTTCGTGAAAAATGATCCTGTAATGGCTTAAACTGACCCAAAATCACCCATATTGAAGCCAAAATAGCCTAAAATTGCGGAAAAACGACCCCAAAGTTCACAGAAATCAGTCGAAAATGATCCAAAAATGACCCAGAATAGGTAAAAATGGCTTAAAATGACCTAAAATCATCCCAAATTACCCAAAAATAGCCTGAAATTAACCGGAAATCGTCTCAAATCACCCAAAATAACTCGAAAATGGTTTTAAATCACCTGAAAATGACCTAAAAACGACTTAAAATGACCCAAAAATCAACTAAAAATCAACAAAAATTACCCAAAAATTAGTCCATAATAACTTGAAAGAACCGAAAAATGGCTTAAAATCGCCTGAAAATGACCCGAAACCTTCTAAAATTAGCAATTTTTGAGCCAGGAATTTTTGGATTCTCTGGTGATTTTTTTGACGGTTTTCAGCAAAAAAAAATGGGAGAAAATTAGCAATTTGGAGCCAAAAATGAACCGAAATGGCCCAGAAATGACCCAAAAACTCTAAATTTCGACTGATTTTCGCTAATTTTGCAGATGTCCCACCACCAGGAGATGTTCCGAAGATCGGGATCGATCCGCTCGACGGCGTCGTCTGGATTCGGCGGATCCCAGAAGAACCATCAGAAGATTATCGATCCAACGAACTCGGACGACCTGCTGGCAGTGATTGATAGTCTCAAATTGGAGCTACAAGTCAAGGATTCGAGAATGAAGGACATGCAGGGCTATATGGATCAGTTGGTAAGAGTTTTCAGCCAAAAATTGGGAAAAATGAGCAATTTTGAGCCGAAAAGTTCCATTTTGAGCCAGAAATTCGAATTTTTGAGCCAATTTAAGCCTAAATATGGTTAGATTTGAGCCTAAAAAGTCGATTTTTTATCCAAAAATTCGAAGTTTTGAGCCAGTTTAATCTCAGAAATGGTCAGATTTGACTCTAAAAATTTCATTTTGAGCCAGAAATTTGAATTTTTGGGCCAAAATATGTAAAAAATGAGCATTTTTGATCCGAAAATGCTGAAAATCAGAAAATTTTGAGCCTGAAAATTATAGAATTTTTGACTTGAAAAAGTTCATTTTTTAGATTTTTTTCAAATTTTTGAAATTTTAGAAATTTTTGAAAATTTTGAAAAAAATCCTGAAAATTTTGAGATTTTTTCAAGTTTTTGAATTTTCAGAATTTAAGAATTTCGAGATTTTTAAAAATAATTATTCAGAATTTTTAAAAATTTTGGATTTTTTCAAAATTTTCAGACTCTTCGGATTTTTGTATTTTTTAGAATTTTCAGAATTTTCGGGAATTTTTAAACTTTTTCGATTTTTAGGATTTTTAAGGATTTTAATGAAAACTTGAAAGAAATTTTAGATTTTTTGAAACGCTGGATTTTTTTAGAATTTTTTAGAATTTTTGGAATTTTTGTAAATTTAAATATTTTTGATATTTTAGGAATTTTTGGATTTTTCTACATTTTTTTTTTTGGAATATTTTGATATTTTGAATTTGTGAAATTTCTTAATTTTTTAAACATTTTTTTTGAATTATTTGAACTTTTTGGATTTTTAGAATTATACAAAAATTCTCAAAATTTCAAATATCTAAACGCTCAAAAACGGTTTCTTTTGATTTTTTTTTAATTTTTGAGTTTCGTTTGCAATTATAGAATTTTCAGACATTTTTGAATTTCTTATGAATTCTTGAAAATTTTAGAAATTTCGGAATTTTTCATACTTGTGAAGGGCC